AGGAAAGCAGCATCCTAATTTTTTGCATGTATAGGTTTGTGATAAATACTTTGTATTTAGGACAACTTCTACATGACAAAGTCCATTGCTGATTATACAAAAAGGCTGGCATGAGCTTTCTCTGTCTGAAAGGAATCTTCACTAAAGAAAATAAATGGGAAGTCCTGAAAGGTAATTGATACATTCCTTAAGCACAGTGAAAATCTAAAGATACTGTAATAATGAATGAATTTTCATTTCTGTGTTCTTCTGCAAACAGAACAGCTGTAGAAACAGCTGCATAAACAACTCTTGTATTACAGATGTTAGTACTACAGGTTCATTTCTTTTTTAAAAGTTTGTTTGTCATACTGTGCACCCAGACAATAAAAGCAATTACACAACTACTCTGCCAAGGCTAAACTTGTCCTCTTTATGCTACTGTCCTGCTTTTAAACAGAACTCGCTTGTAATATTATAATGGTAAGTAATCATTGCCTAGACTTCTAGAATAAAGATGTCTAGCTAGACTTCTAGAATACAGCCCCCAAAACATTAGATTATAATGTAACAGCATTTAGATGAAGATAATTGAAGGCAGGAGAGCGCTTGCAAATCACTGCTGCAAGATCAGGTGATTAATCATGTCAATAGCTTCTTTTTTCTGATACTTACAACTATAATGATGTAATTTGTAATTTTAGTCTTTTAAATAAGCCAGGCCCTCGCAACTAAAAAAAAAAAGCTATATTTTTTGTAATTATGTATCTCAGCATTTACTATTTCTAGTCCATTGACTAGAACAGCAATAGATATCCATTATGGGACCTAAAGAGTCACCAGTGGACTCTGATCTCTTCAGTACAACACAAAGAGAAGAGACAGTCTCACCCCTACATATTTAAGTGGTCACTTGACCACATTCAGCAGAACACGTCCCTGCAGATAGGCTTCAAGCAGTCACTTCAGCCAAAACTCATCAACCTTTGTACGTAAACCACAAGTACAGAGATCAGCAGTTATTTAATGTTCTTGGAAGAACACAATTTAAATAAGAGTTTTATAAATTTCTTTTGATGTGATTATTTTTCTTGTGCTACTTGGCACGGTTCCACTGGGCTTGAAATAATTACAACAAGGATTAATTCTGCCTTTCTGTATGCTTTATATACACCCCTAAAAAAGGTGTTATTTTTTCTTGTTTGCACTTCTGTGGAATGTGCAAGGCTGACACTTTTTTTTAATAGTAAACAGTGATTTAGAAGTTAGAGCTAAATCTAGTCAAAACTGTCAGTTCATAAGGTGTGAAGAGACTCCTTCCACCTCGAAGTTTTGTAACATTTTGATGCTCATCCAACAGCTCCTAATCCACAAATCTTATATGAGAATCTTGGTTCTAATTTAATTTAAACTCACACCATTGCAGACATTGCAGACAGAAAGAAGAGGGGAAAGGGAGAGATCCTACTTCTTCTGCTTACAGAGAAATACTTAAAATATTCCACTAAGCGTTCTACATTAATATCCAACAAGTCCCAGATGCACTCCATTTTATAATGGTCATGTTCAGACAGGGACTTTTATGAACACCTGTAACCTACAGGGATATCCACACTGTTACAGAAAATGAAAGAACTGAGAGGATCTCAGAGCAGAGACATCAGAGCCAGGAAGGCTAAGCACTGCCCTCAGCACAGACCAGCATCCATCACAGCTCACATTCAAACACAGGTACTTTTGATAACCAGAATGCCAGGACAGTGAGCAGCACTATGGGAGGAGAGGTGCTTGTGGACACTCTTTCCCTTCCACACTCTGAAAATGCCTGTACACATAAAACAAGCAGTCAGGCGATTCAGTGATGGATCCACATGAAGGCATTGTGATGATACACACAGAATGTAATCTGCTACGCCTCTGACAGAAGAAACAACCCCAATCAATACTTCAAATGATTTTTAATTTTGCATCTCTGCTTACTACTCTGCATTGAGCATAGTTTGTACATAGGGGTTGGATATTTTTTTTTATCATGAGACTCTTTGTCCCTGTATTTATAGTGATGCACTAATGTTGAATCAGACATGTCCTGCTGCACTGTCTTGTTAATATAAAACATATCTTCAGCCTCAGTCTTCAAGTGGAAATTCAGTATTCTTGACAAATTCTTCAGCAATTCTGTTTACAAAGTAAATCCTACATATCTCAGAATCAAACTTGTGTTCATTCAAAATAAGCCCTGTCCTCCTCTGAGCCACAATCTCCTTCCATAGCCTTCTGCAATAACACTAAATCATTTCCATTCCTCATTTCAGACATCCAAATGTCACTAATTGACTTTCACCATCTATGGGATTACTATCCGCTGTGTCTGGTATAAACGCAAGGATGTGTCACTTAAGCTAAAGCTCAAGTAGTATTTCTTGCTGGTTGGGTTGCAGCCTTTTTGGATAACTTAAATAAGGCCTTAGTCCTGTAGATCTTAGACCTTACACCACCAGTTCTAATAGGACCAGAACCAAGGCTTCAGACATTGGAGACGACAAGGCAGAATTTAAATTCCCAGCTCTCTTTCAACTTTGTTTAGTTAAGTAGGCACTGAGTCTATAAATTAATAAAAGCTCTAGACTTTTTGACCTTTTTTGACCTTTTTTTTTTAATTAGTTACTGTCTTTTTTTTACACCAGAATGTAAAAGACTCACATCTGTCTGTTTAGGACAGAAAATTTTAACACAGGATAGCATCCTCTTGTAGTTCAGTATTGCTCAACTTTTATACATCATGCTCCACTTTCAGTATATCACTCTTCATTAGCAGACAATGTAACAAAATCACTGTCAATGAGCATCTAGTCTTTAATCAAACTCCTACATTTTATCTGCAAGAATATGCTGTGCATCTGTAATAAATTCAATTTCCAATATTGCCCATCTTTTTGCAACTTGAAAATTTAATAACGCCAGCTCTTCTTTCCTGAAGGAGAAGGCCCTATGGAAATGTGGGACTTTGCTCACGTATCAAGTTTTAGTCATATGTCAATCACTTTATCTTCATTAAAATGCCACTACCTCTGAGTAAAATAACAGCATGTGACACCAACACTGGACCAGTCTGTGGAGAGGAATTGTGTAATGCTTTTTTGGAACAGCACAAGAAATTTAACCACTGAGAACATAAATTAATAAACTGGAATTTGGACAGCACTCTGAAAACCCATCACTGTCTATGCAAAAAGTAAAGCACTTGGAGGCTCTGAGGGTTGATTTAGGCAGTGGGAGTAATCCATGTGCAATCCCACTTTGCCCTCAAAGTGAGACACTAGACATGGACCAATACTGTTTTTGAAATTATATAAATGCAGAAGTGTTGTGCTTCCTCCATTCTTGTAAGGTTTAACTCTAAACAGTAACAACTGCTGATCTTGTTTAGCTTCTGAAGACCTGGCAAAAACAGTTGAAAGCAGCTTGGATTTTTTAATGGATCTGTTGAAATATCTCTCCCAGATAACACACACTTAACATGGAAAATTCTGCTTAGGTTTGTCTTCCATTGTTGTCCCAAATTGCAAGTTTGAGACTTGAGCAAGTTGCAGAGGCAGGCAGGTAGAAACCAGGTATACATATAGCAGTGATAGGTTACAAACTGAGGAAGGCAGAATAAGTACATTTAACACACAATCTGGGTTGAGTGGCATCAGGAATCCTGCCTTTCTCAAATTTAGCAATGCAGAGTTGGTTCTAAACCAGATGGAGTTTTGCAAGGGAATTTCCATGAGGGATGTTACATGACAGGACTACTGCAAAGCAACATCTCAGAGATGCAGTAATGCAAGAAACAGGTCCTAAAAAAGAATTTGCTTTGCTTTAAGACAATTATCATCCTTCCAAATTTCTAATGTTTAGTAGGGTTTTACTTAGTAAAACTGTGTATTTAACTTTGTCTGTTGTTTGACCTGGCAAGAAGATCTGCAGGCTTTTACCAGTTGCAAGATTTAGTAGTCTTCAATCAGATTTCAGGATGTTCAAGCTAAAGTCATGGGTTTTAGCTCTTGCAGTACCTGCCACAGGGACTGCATATAGGCAGTTTTTAGCCCGTTCACTGTTTGTCTGTACTCTGTTTGACCAGGCAGTCCAAGGGCACAGATGGAGAACTTGCTCTTGCCTTGTCTCCTCCTGGCATGGCACCACTAAAGAAGAAACTGGAAGAGTGAGAACTGTCTGTGCTTGGGCCCAGAGGAAGCTGACAAGTCTGCTCAAGAAACAGACTGAAGACCTGTAGCCAACAGATATTCTCCACATGGGATAATCACTCAGCAGAAGTCAGCTGTTTTAACATGCTCTTTTTCCAATAATGTTGATCTGTTTATGCCAATTCTATGTGCTTTGGCAGGAGATGAGAAAAATTATGGACACATTGTATGGGAACGTTCACTGGGAAAATGGAAAAACCCCATTTCATTATGGATTAAAGTTTTATCAGTTTCATGGTTAAGGTTGTACTGATACTTCTTGTGTCCACAGACCAATCTGACTTATAGACAATTATTTATAGAAGCAAAAACCTCTTTCCTGGTACTGATAACCTGTCTCCTTTGCCTGTCCAGGTCCAACAGTACCCATGTGACAAGGTGAAGGAAACACGAAACTCTCCAACTCTAGGCTACACTGGCTGAGACCCCTTTTTTTTGGTTCATCAAGGGGGCATGTCATGTCATCCCTGACCCATGCACACAGCAAGGTCACTGCATGCTCTCTCCCATGACATAACTGTACCCATAATGGACCTTGCAATCCATTTTGCCTGTGGCTGCAGTACACTTTTTCAGGTGCTGGTGCTTAGTTGGTGCTTAGTTTCTGAATCCCCTCCAGGTGTATGTGGCTTCCATACCTAATGACTTATGTGCCAGCAGGATCCTGATGCAACGCAACACACACACCCCCACTGTACCCTCACTGAGCCAGGCCTGGGGGACACCCCCAAAATGCCTCTACCACCCCTCTACTCCCGCCCAGTGTCCTACCTGGCATCAGCTGCACTGCTGCCTCGGGGGTGATGGTTGGAGCTGCCTGGGGCTGCTGCTGGCTGGAGCTGACCTCAGGGTCGGCACCCACCGAGGGCGAGCCGGCCAGCTCACCACCCGGGGCCAGCTGTGGGGTGGACGGCAGGGTCTCCTCAGCAGCTGCCGGTGGCTCCTCCTGACCAGGCAGCTGTAGGGCTGAGAGGGGGATGCTGATGGGTTTCCCAGCGGTGGTGATGGCATTAGAGCTGCTGGCTGGCACCTGCAAGGCAGCCACAGGGCCGCTGCTCGCCCCCCATGCCGGGGAGGCGAGAGGTCCCCGGGGTGGCCTCTGCGCGGCCATGCGGGGCGGGCCAGGAGGGGAGGCGCAAGGGCGCGGCGGGTCGGGCTCGGGGCCTGTGGCTGGCTGGGGCACGGTTCTGGTGGGTGCCACGCAGGAGGGCCCTGCCGGGGGCTGCAGCTTGGGCTTGGACATCTGCATCAGGGCCAGGGCCGGCCCATCGGCACCGGCCGTCAGCTCCGCGTTGGCCACTATATAGTAGTCCTCAGGGAGCTCCTGCTTGATCTTCTTGAGGAGCACGTCACCGCTGCCCTCATCGGCGGCCTGGGCCTGGGGCTGGGCCGCAGCTGCCGGTCGCTTGCGGGGGCCGGTGGGGGCACGGTGTGGGTGTGGCTCAAAGTCACTGTCCTCATCGGTGACAGAGGACTCACAGACCATGTCAAAGAGGGTGGCCTCATCCTCGTCCTCCTCCACAGGCTCGCCCAGGTCTGACGGCTCACTGCAGTAGGAGAAGTCACAGGAGTCACGAGTGCGGGTACAATCCAGCTTGGCTTTCCCCGGCCGGCCTGGGTAGCGCTCCAGGGGGCTGGCCTGAGCCTCTGATGGCACCCCCAGCATGCTGGGGCTGTCTGAGTTGAAGCTGCGGCTGTCTTGGAAGCAGACACGCTCCTGGGAACCGGCCCGGCAAGTGGCAGCCAGGGGCCAGTGGTAGGCATGGCCAGCACTACAGCCCCACATGGCTGTCAGGTTGCCATTGGCCCCCTCGGAAAGCAGGTGCTTGAGGTTGGGGATGAGGCTGCAGATGGTCCCATGGCTGTGGGCCCAGCTCACCAGCTTGGAGAGGTTTTCAGAGGAGGTGTGAAGGCAGTCCTCCATGGTACAGGATCAACAGCGCCTGGCCGCTAGGAAGTCAGCTGAAGACACAGTTCAGATCACAGGGTCTTGGCACTGATGGTCGTGTGTTGCCAAGCTCATATTTACTTCTCACCTGCAGAGAAACAGAGCAAAACCCCACTCTTCAGCACTCCTAAAGCATGACCATATTTGCATGGGAAAATGAAACATTTGTACATTCGGCTAAACCCACCCATTTCACCCATATCTCATGTCCTACAAAATATGCCTCAAAACTACACCGGGTCTTAAGCAGCCACATTCCTCATTCTCAGAACATCTCTGCAACATACAACTGAAGAGAAAACTGCGTTTCACACAAGACAATTCAGTATCAGTAGCAAAATTATTAGAAGCTTAAATCTCTGACAAAATATAAAAGCAGCCCAAAAGATGGTGATTGTGTGTTCATACCTAGGAAATGAAAATTAAATAAAATCTTAACTCATACAATTAATCTTGAACACCGGGGTGGCAATCAAGCACCAACTGGATCTGAAGAAACAATGAAGTTTTACATAATTTATGCAGATTTCTCAACTGAATCAAATATCTCCTTTTCAACTGAATTTAAGAGGTATCAAAAGGAAGGCTTGAAACTTGAGCTTTCAATACAAGGAATAAACAAACAAGCTCACCTTTCACTGTTCTATACTAATAGTCATCAGTTGCTCAAAGACTTAAGAGACTCTTAAAGGGCCTACTTTTTACCATACTGTCCATTTCCAACATCTAAATCATGATTCAGTTCAAGAAAAACTTTTGCCATTTTCATCAAAACTATTTAGAAATTTGCCATACAAGATGACAGCAAAGTCTGCATGTTTTTCTTTGTATACAGCTAATGACAGAGAAGTAATCTCCAGTGACCTCGGACAGCTAAAGTATCTGTGAACTTCTTCTCATTTCTGCAAGTCTGTTTGGAGCCTCTCCCTTACCCTCTCTCTGCTGTGCATTGTGAACATGACCTGCAAGCCTTGGAGTTCCTGTTGTTCTCATTTCACTTTTGTTTTCTTATAGAAAGAAAAGCCCATTACATTTGTCCCAGATGAAATGAAGTATCCGTGGCAATGTTATACCTCATTTTATTCCTTGTCTTCATCTACACAAGCATTTTTAGATACAAAATGAACTGCGTCAAGGCTCAAAAAGACAGCCACACAGTGGCTAATTGCCCCTGGGGAATGCTTTCCCTAAAAATCAACACAAATTACTACCTGCCTACCTAGTTGCTCCTCAGTCACCTGCAGATATCTGTGTTTGCTCTGCTGCCAAGGGAGATGAGGAGGCTGCATTTCAATGATTTTAGCTTACATATCCTTGCCCCTTCACTCCTATTCACCAGGCAAGGGTTGGTCTGTGGAAATCAAAACTGGAAATAAAATACACAAGTACTGCCTACGATTTTCCCCACCCTCCTGGGTTTTTTCACCTCACCCACTGTGAGTCTTTGGTGGGGTCAAGAATGGAGCCAGCATGGGAATTTCCAGAAACTTTAATTTCTAGGTATTTTTCCAACATCTCTGAAATTAAGCATGGAGGAAATGAATGAACAGGAAGAAGCACATAATTAGGAAACAAAATCGTATAAAATTCAAGTTTGTTTTTGCAGCAGCTCAAGACAGAGTGCACGCACAGAGAACAACTGCTACAATAAATGGAATTCTAGCCCACATGCAAACAGAGATCTCAGAGCATCACCTGCAACACACAGCTCCTTGCATGACCAGTGCATCTGTGAAGTATAATACATGCAAGAAGGTCCCTAATTTGCAAGTCTTTTAGGCACAGAAGACCTCCTTTTTCAAACATACGACTTTCAAATATCTAAAACTTATTTTTTGTTATATTTTATTTGTTTTAAAGCTATTAAAGATCATGCTCAAGAGGGGTCAAAATCCCTGTTCCTTATAAGAAATCCCTGTTTCTTCTAAAAGACTAAGGAATCCATGTTTCTTCTAACACTCATATTCAAAGATATGTACTTACAACGTACCCTGCCACAGAAGAAACACCAAAACACAGGAGGAGGAACACCATAGTCATAGCAAGGCAAAGAAGACAATCTGGGAAGTGAACAGGGGAAAGGAGGGAGAGCTAATACAGTCAGAAGATGCATCTGAGTAAACCTTGTGTGGTATCATGGAGCTGCTCAGTCACCACACAACCAGGAATGTATCTTGGGAAGACAGACAGCCCCATTTAGCTAAAGGATCGCTTTGCCCTTAGGAAAATGTGATAAAGTCTGCCACAGTCTGACTGCCAAGGTCAAGATTGCGTGTGCAGTTACTCAGAAGCACTGTGTCTTCAGTTTGCCAACTGCAACAGAAGTTGCAAATGGCAGTTTGGGAGGGAGGCACTCATGCTGTAGAAAGCACAGAAAATGTATCATTATGTCCCTGGTTTTCTGGAGAGTACCTTGTCTGCTCAGTCAGCAGGATCCTGGCTGACAATCTGCTCTTGTTTTCTAAATCACATTTTAGAGATTATGTAAGTACTTCATTCAGACTGGCAAGATCCGATAAGATGACTCATGCTTAATAACCTGATAACATGATAACTCTGAAATCATACAGTAACATGATGTAGTTTCCATGCAATCTACACTGGTATTTTAACTGCATTACAGACGTCTTAATCTTCCACAGCATTTTTTTGCAGTTCAGAGCCTACAAATATCTAAATCAGAGTGAAGCATGTCTGGGTGCTGGAAATTCACTGTGGCTATCTGGACCGTCAAGGAAGAGTTGAATTTTACAGCTTTTTTTAAATTTTACAAACTTATTTACAACATACCAATACAATGACTAATGTGGACAGAATGTGTGCTGTGCAAGAAAGTGGTATTACTGGAAAACCATGCCTTGAGATCTGTTAATGCATTAAGAGGAACACCATTTGATTTAGGAAAGGCAATATTTTCTATATCCAGAACCAGAGTTTTGCCATAGTAGATCCATTTGATGACCAAAGGACAATGAAAAATAGCAAGATTTAAAGAGTAGCCCTCCTTCATGTTCTAAGATGGGACTTGGCTTAGCTACTTTAATGCAGACAAAACTCTTCCTGATTTTGCACAGAGCAGTAGCAAGAGCCCCCTTGTTATGAAAGGCCCTTGACCAGGCAAGTCCCAGGAGCAATAGCGGTTGGTAGCTGTCCAACATGAACCCTTTCCTTTATCCCATGAAAAGAATGAACAAACACCATTGGGGAGCAGAGATCTGGCTACCTCAACTACATTTTATCTTTTGGTTCTTTGCACATGAAAGTGATAGAGTTTTGGTTAGGACCTTATGGAATGTTCCTCAGACTCAAAAGGAATTCTATGATATGGCTCCCTCAGAAAGGAGACCAAAAGAGGTGAGGATGCCAAAAGAGGTGAAGGAACTGAATGCAAAAAATGGGATGATGCAGAGGTGTGGAGTGGGAAGTGGGTGTCCTCCAGCAGTGCCTATACAGTGGAACATGGATTTGGTGGACCAATAGCTCAGAGAGGGTGATGGGTGCATTTTGTTGTAAAGAAGGAAAAAAGTAATTTTGGGATTCTGTCCTCTCACAGAACCCCAGGTAGTTAGCAATGGATTGCCTCCCCAGGGTAATCACAGATAAGTTGATTCACACTAACTTGCATCACACATATCTATGTTTGAAACTCTATTATGGTTACTGATTATTAGTACTTCCATACTGATTTTTTTCAAGGGAGCAATATAGCCAGGACTACATTAAGAGTCCTTTTGAGACATGATGCCAAAGCTGATACTACTGAAAATTTTCTAAAAGTTCAAGATTCTCAAATAAGAATACAATGCAAAATTTACTTCTGTTAGTAATAAAAAAAATAATAGTTCTAATCAGACAGCTATATAAAAACTAAACCCTGAATCCTAAAACATTAAAAGGTGTAAAAAAACCTGCATTTGCTCATTTTACATAACATGGATTTCAAACTAATCTTATAGCAACTGAAACTTGACTTTTAAGTGGTTTTATGGAGAAGCAATTTTTTTCAGCATCTACATTTAAAAGAAGTCTTAGAAAGCAGTTGGGCGCTGCTTTCTCATACTTGCTAAAGAAGCTAAAAATATTTCCTGTTTTCAGTCTCTCCACCCTGTGAAAACTTACTAGGCTATTACTCCATCACTGTCTTAAGGGGAAGCATTGCTTTATTTTTTGAAAGATTACCTTTCCATATTAAAAGATTTGGCCACCATAGTGGAAGAATCTATCTAATTCAAGATTTTATTCTATCTATCTATCTATCTATCTATCTATCTATCTATCTATCTATCTATCTATCTATCTATCTATCCATCTAATTCAAGATTTTAGCTAATGGACAGTACTGAGGCTTCTCTTATTACTAGAATCTCACAAGCCAAATGTTTAGCCTTGATAAAGGTCAATAACAGCAGAAATCCCAGTGTAAATTCATCCACAAAGGCAGAGTAGTACTGAAGTCTTCACAAAGGCCTGCTGCAGTCACACAGGCCCTGCTAGCCATCAATCCAGGATCACCTGTATATTTCTCTTTTACAAAGTAAGTTGCTGAAGTAAACTCAGCAGGAGCTGCAGCCTTGCCCAGATAGCACCTGCAAATGCTGGGGGCCCTAGCCATGCAACAGAGCACTCAAAATCACACCACTGCTAATCACCTTCTCTGCTATCTCCTATGAGAGGACTCCTGCTCACAGTGGAGTTAAAGGTCAGCCTCTTTGACTCAGTGTTTTGATTTCTTCACTGATATTGCAAAGGAGGTAATCAAGATGACACAGGACCAGGACAGACAACCAAAACAGACCAGCAAACTGGAAGGAATGGGAGTAGGTGAGTCCATTTTCTCTGATTTTTGGTTTCCGGAGTACAAAACTTCCATGTCAACTCAAATATTATTGCATTTACTTTCTGCTTGAAATAAAGGCTATGAAGCAAGAAGAAGCAGAAGGAGAGAGAGAAAGAAAGCACATAGAAAACAATGGCATTGTATAGGCAAGGTATGAATCAAGTAATTTACCCCGTTCACCCCAGGGAGAAGGGGTTGACTTCCACCTCTGATACCAACTGTATATGGCTCCTTTTGTTCAGCAGGATGTG